GTTGGCAAGGTCAGTATCTTTCTGGCAATAAATGTGTCAGCACTAGGCAACCTCAGATGGCCTCACTACACAACTGCAAGAAATTAAGGATGTCCCGGTGCCTTCTGAGAACCAGCAGAGAAATGCCCAACCGCAGTTCTGTAGGATCATAGCCTCCTCCTTTATTTAACTTCTAGCCTATACTAGATGGGCCATTTTGAGATTGGAATTTCCATACTTTGTCCGGGACACACAGCAGCTGCCTATGAAGCATGTAGGGGGTTCTTACAGCATGTGGGGAGGGGGAATATTCAACAGCCACTGAATGAAACATGAGACCATCTCCTGCACTGTTTGTGTCCCTGCCCAGCAGATTTTATTACCAAGCCAGGAGAGAAGGAAATGCCTATGGAATACAAACAACAAAAAACAGAGAGTAAAGACTTGCAGGCTACAGACAACCTTGAGAGCAACAGACCACATTGCTACTGCAAAACATCAAGGCCAAGAAAACATTGTGGGGGTGGGGGTGGGTTTATGCATGTACTGTGTGCATAGCTGGATAAAGCCTGCAGTTGCCTAGCTCTCCTGAGTCCCATTAAAATAACCCATCAGCAGAGTCTACAGTTGGAATTGTGGGCAGTCTGGACAGACCTTGGCAAGGCACACAAAGGAAGGACAGAAGAGGAGGAAAGGTTAAAGGAGTGTAAATGATGACACCCAAAAAGAGGAACCAAAATATGGGGGAGCCACCCCGCCCAGGAGAAAAAACTAGTACAGAGGATGTGGCATTCATTTCATGAGTACATACACAGCAGTTTCCCTCCCTGTTCTCAAAAGAAGAGAAAAAAAAGGTAGGTTAATAAAATCTGCTAACAGTTTCAGAGTTTGCACTCTGTATCTGGGAACATCACAGAGTCAGGCACCTCCAGAGAGGACTCTTATCTCTCAGCCTCCAGCACAGCCAAACTCTATCCTTGAGAATTCATAAAGACCTGTTGAATGTAATCAACGGGAATACAGTACTTCAATGAGATCCCTATATTCCAAAGAGTCCCCTTCATAACTTTCCTGAAGATACCTTTGCTCTCTCTTCTACTGGAGCAACCTGACAACCCCCATGCAAAACCAAGACATTTTATTTGCCTAAAAACAAACAACCCAGCCAAGTCAGCTGCTTGTTTCAGATGTGGCAGCCCCTGTGCGTTGTTCTACAAGTGCTCAAGCAGAGACACCGCAGGCTGGTTCTGAGCTTCCAAAAAGGGCAGCATGCTGAATTTTATGTCTGCAGCATGCCACTGAAGAGTACACACTAAGCTGTCCAGATTTAAATAATGCCAGGATGAGGAGTGTTGCAGTAGAGGGAGAGGGTCCTTCTGCAATAGAATCCAAGCAGAGTACAAAACTGACTCATCTCCCTATCATATTCAATACAGTATCCCCCTGGATGGAAAAAGGCAATTCTTAAATCAAGTCTTCTTAAATCAAACCCCATAGGGGCAAGTTTCAAGTTGCCACTACAACATAGCCTGACCTCTCCCTCTCTTCCTGTCCCTGTTTCGCAGCCATCTAAACTTAAATGCATTAAAAGAAATAAGTAAGTAACCAACAAAAACAATAAACATTAGGCTTTCATACAAGAACTGGAAATGTTTTCCAGCTCTGGTCACTGTATTTAGAGTAGCCATCGCCACACAATGAATTATACCATAGATATAAGAACCTGCAAAAAGCAATTAACCTAAATATACCCAGCTATCAGTAGCAATTAAACAAGATAAAGCTTGGATCCAGAGTCCTCCCTGTATAGCCTAGCCTGCGGGGGGCTGCTAGCCTGTTACAGAGAGGGAGGAGAGGAGAAAACATCTGTCCCTGGAATGACTGTTGTCCCTAAGTCACCTCTGCTGATGAAAATACAGGACCCCTCCATGTGACTGGGCAGCACTGCCCAGGTTTAGAATGCACAGGGCTGAGTAACAGCAAGCAGAAGTGGGCAGCCTGCCACTTGCCTGAAAGGAAGATTATTACTGTACATCCAACCCAGAATTCACAGTACACTCTAGACATAAAAGCAACTGCACACAGAGTTTTAGAGTCACTTTTCTCTCCTCCAGACCTGGTCTCTGGGATCATGGCAAAAAAGCAATCAAAACAGCTTGACTGGCCATGCACTAGATAAATCAGGAACAATGATGTTAGTGGCAGGGAAAATGGGGTGAAGAGTACTCTTTGCCTCTTTCAACATCACTCTCACTAATTAATGCTGGTGGCTTTCTTCCTTGGCCTGGGTCTTTGTGATTGTACAGAGCTATGTCCAAACCACCCTACTCAAAAGCCACCTAAGGGTCAAAGGTTATATCAGCCAGATCCACAACACACACAGCACACCACAGATACATCAAAGGGCAACAGGTCATGGAGACTGTAATGTTGGTACACCGATAAAGAAAGCTTAAGGTGTAATTTGCATGAAGGGATAAGGCCATGCAACAGAAAGAAAACATGGAGCAGGTTTCTCCCATCCCAACATTTACTACAGCGAACAGAGATCCCAGCTCCATTGGGAAAGCCTCTAAGTTAGCCACTCACCCATAACTGGGTCAAACATATTAATTCATTCTCTTGGTGCAATGACACTGCAGAGTTCCTCTCAACATTAAAGAATTCAGCTGGATTCAGGGGAGACATGAATGAGATTAATTAAAAAATAACTCTGGGAAGCTCCCTTCACTGCAGCGTTGTAGACACAAAGCTGAGTAAGCCATACCTCTCTGACATGCTGTGGAAACAATTCTCATATCTGAGGTAGTAAGAAACAGCAGCAACAGCAACAAAAGCATTAACAGGATAAGATGTGACCTACAGATGTGTTCAATGTGTATTCATTCTCGGTCATGCCTTTTTCAACCAGCTGCACCCTAAATGTACTGCCATGCAATTTGCATCGTCCCCAGACAGATCAAGTCACACTGCCAGGGGATGATAGGAACTGTAGCCATTGACACTAGAGAGCACCAGCTTGGGGACGGCTTAGAAAATAACCAACAGCTATATCCTGGATCAATATGTGAATTCTACATCTCTCTTTCTCCCCCACAGCCCGGAGCAGCTTCTCTGTTATGAAAGAGTAAGAATATCATGTTAACAGCCTGCTCAGCAGACAAGAACAGCAGAAGCAATGGAAGATTTGAGCCAAACATACATGAGATCTTTATGTCTTAGAGGACAGCTTCTCAGAAGATAAATACTGTGAGGTCTTAGTCATGTTTACCCTATTTGTCACAGCATTTCTGAATGTGTCCAGTTCCTTATACGTGTGGGTTTATTCAGGAAGTGAGTCCACCCCATCTCTTGTGCAAGGCATACAAATGACTTTCCTTCATGAACTCCTCAAACCATTCAGGGCCAGCTCTCCTTCCCCATGCTCAGGATAAACCCAGTGCCACTAGGCTTAAAGAATACTGTACTACACCTCATCATTACACCTCCTCTGAGCATTGGTGTCTTGGGAACGCTGCACCCGCTCCTGCCAACACTTCAGAGTACATAGCCCTGCAGCTGTAGCTCAGGTTTGAGAGTGAGGGCAAGGCTCAGTGGAGGGCCTTGCCCAAGTGGCAAGAGGCAAATAACGTCAAATGGACCCACTGGGCCAGGGGCGGGGTGTGTATCTCTAGGCAGGAAATGGGCAGGCAGCTGAGCACATGGGTCAGGTGGTGATAACTGCTAGCCCAAGCTCCAAAGAACAGCCTCTCTTCCCCCACAAGGCACACATGTGACAGCTGGGTTGGAGCTCAGCTTTAGAGTTATCCCCCTCCCCCTCCCCCCCACACACAGCTTCCCATCCGCCCTCCAACCAGACCAAAAGCAAGAGAGGAAGGCAAGCAGAAAAGGGAAGCATCTGCCACCCACCCGTGCAGCTGTTGCTGCCCTCCAGCCCCCCCCAACCCCGCCTTCCCCTTTCGGACGCTTCTGTACCCAACCCAACCCACGTCCGCAGCCCACCTGCCCTCAGGGAACAAATGCCTGGAGAAAGTCTCCTACCAAGATCGGCCTGTGCCAGCACACACACACAACCGGCAAGGCCCCTTCTCTCGAGACCCTCTCCCCGGGGTTCTCAGTCAAAGGGCAGCCTCCCTCTCCTCAGGCCGCCAACGCTTTGAGGGGAGCCCCGACCCACTCACCCCCAGCACAGAGAAGCTAGCAAGGCAGGGGTGTGTGTGTGTGTGTGGGGAGCACTTCTCAAGCTCCACGCACACACTTCCACCTCGAGGAAGCCTCCCTCCTCCCGGCCACCACAAGCCCGCCAGGGAGGAACAGCTGTCCTTGCCCTGTGCCCAGAGAGTACAACAGCTGTCGAGGGAACCTCCCTGCCCGCCATGGGGCAACCCCTCTTCCTTATAACATTCTTGAACACAGAGGGGTGGGAGGTTCGGGGGGGGGGAAGGAACCAGCTAATTACTCGCCAGCTAACACCTCAGCTCCCCACCACCCCACCCCGGCCCAGAGAAACCTACCCTCCGCATTTCCACCCCTCCCCTGTGGTACCTCGCCCCACACCGTCGCCTGGTACATATAGCCTCTGCTTCCTCTCTATCCACCCCACCACCCCGTCCTCCTCTTGCCCCTGAGCGGAGCAGCCCCTCGGTGCAGCTAACTCCCTTGTTGTCCCTTGGGGGGGGGACCAGGTCGCCAGGGGTCTTCCCAGCCGTTCACCATGGCTTCGCCCTCTGTTTCAAAGGCAGAATGCGCAAAAAGAAAGAGGAGAGGCGACTTCTTCCCCAAATCCAGCGAAGGGGGGTGGGGCGGGTCCCAAGCAATCGAAACCCACCGCAATTCCACCCAAGGACGGTCCTAAGGGCCACTCCCCCCCTTATTAGAAGCCGAGAGATCAAGGCGTTAATTGCTCTCCCTCCCCTCCAACGCCACCCCTCCTCCACCACCAGGTAC